GAGTAGGCACCAGATTGATGGTCATTTATTTGGAGTCAGGAAAATGATCTTATAATGTTAGTGATTATGTTAATTACTTCAAAGGGATGGATTTAGCATCCGCATGGAGAAATTGAAACATGAGAAACTAATAATGTTGCTAAAACACATAAAAAGCATTTATAAATAATTTAGCTTTATGTTTATGTAGCATTAGAAAAATAAGTTAATTGAAATTATAAAGAGTATTTTTAGATTAGAATTTGATTTACTTTTATATTATCTGTACTTGCCTTCATTATTCTCTAAAATTTTCTTTGTTTTGAATTTTGATATCAGTATCTTATGTGCAATTTTGTTGCTCTCCAGTTCAAAACTTAAATAAATCGTTGCCCTTAAAATTACCTTTATAAGCCAGACATTTCAGTCCCTTTGAGAAAACATGAGCATCTCTAGGTCAGCTTGCTTTTAAAATAGTTTTGGGAAGCCCAAAGGCTGCATATAAATAAGTGTATTTGAAAGCCTGTGGCAGAGTGGTGCATAATGTGTAGGTAATGACTGAATTCTCAATTCAGGCTGGCCAACAAACTAGAAAACGAACATAGCTAATTTAAACAAGATCTGGTGGAGGGAAAGAAATTACTTACCGCCACTCTTCTTAAAATGGGTTGTGCCTGTTATTTAATTATTACAACCATTGCTCTGAAATAATTAAGCATCCTCAGCCTTGCTACACATTCTGAAATAATAGACAGAGATGTGGTACAGGGCCAGCAGTTGACAATCTACTTAAACTGCCAGGAAAATAAACATGGGCCAATTGGCCTAAGTAAGAACAAGGCAATTGGCCTGGAAAGATAAAAGAGACTTGGAGACACTCTCCATGGGCAGTAATGGGTAACAATATTTGGTTATTTTCCTCACTATATATGTTGGAATGGGTAAGTATATGAAGTTACCTTAATAATTTCTAACAAACTTCCATTTGTTTATTTTGTTTTCTTTTTAACTATAGCAGTATTTCGCAATACAACATAAAATACTCATGTAGGAAGAAGAAAATTCATTATTTATTGTTAATGGGGGGGGAAGAACATTTGTGAATAACATTCTCTTATCAATGATTCTTAATGCAAATTTTTATTAAAAGTATATACTAAAGTATATAACATTGTCTTAGAAAACTGTCCTGACTCAATTGAGAATCCATATGGTTCTGGATTTTAAACAAATGTCAAACAAATGGCACTTATTCATTTAATAAATATCACTTTATTATGTTAAGTAGCTTGACTGAGCCATTCTACCACATATACTTATATCAAAACATCATGTTGTACATCATAAGTATAGACAATTTTTCTTGTCAATTTAAAAACATTAATTGAATGCCAAATGGTAGAAACTGCCAGTTGTTTACCAATTTCCTTTTTTCCTTACTTAAAAAGTAAATTTCTCAGTTTCAGTTGAAAGCATATCTGCTCAGAGAAGAACTCTATTACCTAGTTTCCCTTACAGCATGGACTGCTATGTGACTAGATTCCAGTCATGAGCAGAAGTGACAGGGTGTATCCTCAAAGCTTGGGACCCTTCCCTTCTTTCCACCGTGCGAGAAATCCTCCAATACTATACCACTCCCCTCCAGCCAGTGTTAGAGAGAAATAAACGTCAATCTTATTAAAAACCCTTGTGCTTTGGGGTCTCTTAGTTATGTCAACTTAGCATGTTCATTAAATAATAGAGCCTCTCTTGACAGGTATAACACTAAAAGTGAAATCGCATTAAAAAAAATTTGTTGCCTTCATTCTCTGAGATGATAATATTAACACATATAAATTCCTACTACATACATATATATACTACTGGTAAAATATTTTTAGAATGACACTCAAAACTAACCATCCTAATATTGCAATAGCAATGTACCTCCGGACTGTCAATGCTCAGATTCCATGCTCTCCCTCCTACTCCTTTACTGATAGAATCCTCTTTCTAGTGACACCTGAGCTTACAGTCACAGTGCCTCACTCATGAAAAAAGCCATCATCAAAAGTTTGTGCTAACTCTCAGGCTTTTATAAGTTCATATGTGATTATGATAATGTCTGAAAATATCTCTCTAATAGACTAGATAAGGCCATTAAAGTACAGTAAGACTTAGTTTATATCAAAGTATTGACAGCATTTTTCTGCATAATAATAGTGATATTTATTCTTCTCAGGATATAACCTTAGCAAGGTCATCTCAGGCTAACCTTAGCAAGATTCCAGAAATCTAAATTGTTTTCCTCCAAAATTATCTTATCCTCTCGACATCCCCTTTACCAATAAGTACTCTGTTCTTCACATGATAAAGGAAGTGACCTGAATTTCTTTTAAAGATATGATGTATTTATAATCACATTTATAGTATTACCCCTACAAGAAGAAATTAGAACTTGATTAATTTCTAAAGATGTAGGGTGTTAGGGAGACATCTTCAAATATATTAATGCAAAAGAAAAGACAGAATTAGGAAGAAAAAAATGCTTTCTTTTGAAGAGTCTATTTAATAACTTAGACATTTACTTGTAAAGTATGTTTTGTAATGATAAATTTATTCTTTTTTTATATTCCCCGAAGAATAGCAGGAGTAATTAGATAAGAACGCCCAGAATCAGTGTCTTCCAGTTACAGAACAGATATTCTTCAAAGAGATCAGGAAAAATTCTCTTCCACACTTTTATTTTAGACTCCAAATATTTACAGTTTTCCCTTAGACCACTCACACAAGGGAAAAAAATAAAAACCTAAAACTTCAGCATGTCTGCCCTTTATCTTGTTCAGAACGTAGGTCCTCAGAAACTGACTTTAGATTTTGGCACACATCCATGTTCACACCCATACACAGACTACAGTCAGCCCTCCATATCCATGGGTTCTGCATCTATGGATCCAACCAACCACAGATTGAAAATATTAGGAAAAAAAAAATAAAAATAACAATACAACAATAACAAATACAAATGTAAAAACACAACACAGTATAACAACTATTTAAATAGCATTTACCTTGTATTAGGTAGTATAAGTAATCTAGAAGTGATTTAAAGTATATCGGAGAATGTGTGTAGCTATATGCAAATACTATGCTTTTTTTTTTGAAATGGAGCCCAGGCTGGAGTGCAACAGCATGATCTTGGCTCACTGCAACTTCTGCCTCCCGGGTTCAAATGATTCTCTTGCCTCAGCCTCCCGAGTAGCTGGGATTACAGGCGCCTGCCACCACGCCTGGCTAATTTTGTATTTTTAGTAAAGACGGGGCTTCACCATGTTGGTCAGGTTGATCCTGAACTCCTGACCTCAGGTGATCTGCCCGCCTTGGCCTCTGAAAGTGCTGGGACTACAGGCAAGAGCCACCACACCCAGCCACTATGCCATTTTTTATAAGGGACTTGAGCATCCACAGATTTCAGTATCTGTGGGGAATCCTGGATCTAATCCCCCAGGGATACTGAGGGTTGACTGTGCCTCTTCCGAGTGCTTTTCTGGTTGCCTTCCTGTATTATGGTCAAATGGCCACATGCTCTCAACACAGGGCGGAAACACAGGAGTATCTGCCACATCATGTCCAATCCAAACATCTCGAGAACATTGCTGGGGAGACAAAATAAAAAACACCTGGCCCTTTTGCTTTAGTTTCCTTTTGTTAAGATCTAACAACCACTTGACAAGGTAATTGAGGGATGACTTTTTACAATCTCTAGGAAAGGAAGACCAATCAAACGAGAGAGGAGAATCCACACTGGTGCTAGACCATAACTCCACAGCACTCTGAAGCAGGGAGAAGACTGAGGAGACTTCTGCACACTCTCAGATGGCCTGGATTGCAGCAACAGTCAACTATCAATTTTCTCACCTACACCTACTCCCCACCATCTTTACATAGCCTCAAAATGATTTCTCCTACCCTATCAGTCCTTAGCGTAGTGTCCATTAAAGGAAAGAATTAATGACATAGAGTCTAGACCTGCCTTAGTAGATGATCGAATGATTGCTAATGTCAAATAATGTATCCTCTCGTAGCCTGTTTAAAACGAGAGAGTTAACTACATGAGCTGATTCAGCTCTAAAGTTCACTGACTTGGAATATGGAATTTAATTTATATGGAAAATAAAGACCAGGTAAGTTACATACCTGGTGTCCACACTGCTCATTACCAACAGATGTACAATTTGATATTCAGTTGCTTAGCATTGAGTTCAACTTTCATCTCTTTACCTGTGATTTACGTTGTATAAAATTTTGAATTCAGGGTGGCTTTCTTCTTATTACATCATATGTTTTGCTTCAATTAATAAATGTTTAGGAATAAAACATTTAACATAAATCAATGTAACACAATCAAATTTTGACAAAAAAGTAATTAGGAAATATCAAATATATCTCAAAGCAACAAATAAACTTTTGATTTTCTAGTAGTTTTATTTGTTATTGCTTTTTCTCCTGTAGGTGATTCCCATGCAGTGATTGCCAAATGGGCTTTCTTCCCAGGTCCCCTGAAAGGATCTGGAGGAAATAATGACGCTCAGCAGATGATTCATGATCACTCGGAATTTCTGAGAACCATGGCAAGTATGACAGCAGCACAGAGATAAGCTTTAAGCAATTTCTAAATATCATACATTTCAGTTTATTCATCATCACAATGGTGTTTTCTGTTTGTTTGTTTTTGTTTTTTCTTGAGATAGAATCTCACTCTGTCACTCAGGCTGGAGTGCAGTGGTGCGATCTTGGCTCACCGCAAACTCTGCTTCCTGGGCTCAAGTGATTCTCGTGCCTCAGCCTCCCGAGTAGCTGGGATTACAGGTGTGTGCCACTGCACCCGGCTAATTTTTGTAATTTTAGTAGAGAAGGGGTTTCTCAATATTCGTAGGCTGGTCAGGAACTCCTGGCCTCAAGTGATCCACCCACTTCAGCCTCCCGAAGTGTTGGGACTACAGATGTGAGCCACGGCACCTGGCCGAACACAATGAGTATTTTTAAAGTCAATTTTGTTATGGGGTTGAGAAAGATAACTTTTAAAAATAATGGGAATATATTCTATGTGTACACAGAGATAAAGCGTATGTAGGATGATCTTGAAAATGACGTGCTTATCAGCCTGGAACAGTACGGATTGATCAGGTGACTAGGGAAAGCATCCAATCTCCAAAAATGTACTAGAGGAGAGATAGGAAGAAAAGTTAATTGACTAGTAAATGTTCTGTATTTCAAGTCTATTACATAAAAATTAAGTACTTAAAAATTCAGTGATGTTTCAAATTAAATTAGACTAGCTCCCAATACAGAAACATTTAAAATATATACACAAGTCTTTGAGACTATTTGGATACACCTGGATATATTTTCCTTGTGGCAGAATGTGGGTCATGAAAAATAATAATCTTTCATTTTCAAAGTAGAAACATACTAATGCATAAATGTATTGCTTATAATGTATCAGTCTGCAGGGTATTATTTTTCTCATAATAGGAAATGGCAGACGTAGGTAACTATATTCTCCTGGTGTAAAATGGAACAGAACAATCTTTTGCAATTACAATGCATAGACTATACTGGCCCTAGTGCAGGAAGCATAACAATTTGCATATTTTAATTTGGAGGTTAGGGACCCCTGTCAAAGTAACAGCTTGGACCAGGTCAGCAAGGAGAAATTGAGAAGAGAGAAATAATTGAAAAGGCAGTTCCCAACAAAATGAAATTTGTCTCGTTGTCACTTAAGGTTGTCTTCTTGTCTTTTTGAGAGAGCAAGGTCAGCTTAAGAATGAAGGGAGAGTAGAGCTTGGTAGATCACTAAGGACCAAAGGATAATTTTTTTAATAACAGTGGCAATTGCAATATATATTTATGAAGGGAAGAGGAAAAAAATGCACATCGCTTTCCAGTTAAGAGTCAGCAGGTGTCCTTTGTGTCAAAATATTGCAGATGTGTACATGGCTGCTCTAAAGTTTGTCCTCAAAGACAAGCAGGTTACAAAGGAGATGAAGTACTTAATGAAATAATTTAGTGTGACATATTGATATTGAAGGCTGGAAGGCAGAAAAGGATTTGCAACAAAATTAAGGTATGTCTTTCTTGAAACAGTTCCCCGTTCCTTTCTCCGAGGGCTGATATGAGATTTTCCCAAGAAAACAAGCTCGTTTTATTTCTCTCTCCAAGTTTATGCCAAAACATAGATGCCAATGTGAAGCTCAACATCTGCACCACATGAAAATCTCATTGGAATATAGTCCAGAGAAAAGTCAGGTTATGAAATGTTTCGTCGGTTATGTATTGGAGGGGTTTTAATCTCTCCAGTGTCATGTGTTTTCAGTTAGAATGTACATTAGTAAAAAAACCTAGAGCACTAGCGGTGAAGGGAATTAGGCCTGGGAAATGTTAGTTTTAGATAGCGGGAGTGGAGGTGGCTAGTGCTATTATCAGGGCATAAAAACAGCAGCCAAACTTCTATTCTGAGTAAGAATAAACAAGGTCACAAGTTTCTGAGTATTCTATAAAGTAATTGCTTGAGAAAATGAAGAAATGTATTTCATGTTCATGATATAGTGTCATCATTTACATAAAAAGCAAAGAAAAACACCCCCCAAAAAGTTATATTCTGTGATTGCCAAGCTGTTTTCTGCCCTCACACATCTCAAGGAAACCCATTCTTCAGTAATGATGGCTCACTATGTCAGTGACTCTCAACTGGCAATAAGTAGAGAATCAAAGTTTGCAGGCAGGCAGTTAGGAAGGATGAAATGTGTAAGAGTTCCCCTTTCCCTCCTTTGTATAGAATCAAGAGTACAGCATCAATCACCAGGTAAAAAATCAAAATATTGGGCTTAGAGTACTAGATCTCTAGCTGTGCAACCTTGGACAAATCTATTAGTATTAATAACTCCAATTTTCAGTTTTCTCATCTTGAAACAATACGTTGTTCTGCACAGTTTTTGTGAAACTACATACATGAATGTGCTGTTTTAGACTGTGAAGTGTGCTGAAGATTTAAGTTTTCCTTATTAATTGGCAGAGATGAATGTACTTACTTGGTCTCGAGATTCTTGCAAACCCGTTTGTTTAGTCATTTTCTCTAGAGCTGAATCTCAAACACCAATGTGCTGTCTCTCTGGTCCCAATCAGATAAACAATGTTATGATCTGCTTCTACACACTTACCTGCCCAGGGCATCCCTCCAGGAGGAATGGACTTGTCCTCACAAATGCATTTTTAAAAATTTTTATTATACTTTATGTTCTAGGGCACATGTGCACCATCATTCTCAACAAATGCATCTTTAATATGAAGAACAACTGTTGCTCCAAAAACAATTCTGAAATTTCTGTCACCTAGTGACTCCTAAATTTGCTGTGATTTTTCTCTTTTGAAAAATAATAAGAAAATGTGTCAAACAACATATCTAATCCTGAGGTAATGTCCTGGTGAAAAGCTGCAAAGTGGTAATTCTGAAGAGAAAGTTTATAGAATATACTTGGCAATCTTGAGAATTTTCATTTAAAAAAAAGACCACACAACACTTGCTATGAAAAAATATTACATTCTCTCCAGAGAAGTAACACTTCCTCCTTTGTTCTGGAGGTTCTCCAAAGACTTCAAAGCCATTTTGCAGGTTATGTTACCTAAAGTTATTAAAACTCACAAAATATCCATGAAGTAATAAAATGGAAACTATTCATATGCCAGTCAAACAGATACAGAAACAGTGGTCCTAAGAAAATATGACCTGTCTAAAGCCTCCTAACAAAAAATTAGTGGGTCCAAAAATAGAATCTAGGCAGCTGACTCTAGACATTCCAAAACACTTCCTCTCTTCAGAATTATTATTGTTAATTCCCTCTACACATAAACAACCTCCAGCTCCCGGAGGATGGATGAGATCATGCTAACAAGTCATCCATTCTTTCCATAAGAAATACAGCAGTCATAGCCAATGAGTTAATTCATAGAATGTCCATGTGCCATAGTGAACACACACACACACACACACACACACACACACACTCCCCACACTCCCATTCTAGGTGCAGATTGTTTTTGTTTTCTTCAGTTAAGCTGTAGTTGAGATTTTAATTTCAAGCTTTAGCCCATGACTTCTGCCTAAATTTCACACTCGATGCTTTCCTATGTCTTCTTGTTCTTTCCTCCCTGTATCAAATAGTAAAAAACTAGACCATGGCAAAATGGATTTTTGACAGATTTTATAATTTAGCTATTGTCACTTCCACAAAGGCCATTCATTATACTAACATGTATTATGGACATGAAACAGAATTTGAAAAGTTGAAAGTCATTCAACCCTGATCATAAAAAATAATTTCATAACTTAAAGTTACCATATCAGAATTAAATTTGATTTAAAGATGTTAAAAAATGAATATATTTGAGAAAGAAATCCTTGCAAATAGCATCTCAATATAATGTAGGCAATTTACACAATTTATGTATACTTTCTCCTGCCAAGATACTTCTAAGAAAAGACAATGGTAAAGACAATGGTAGTAGGAAACAGGAATTGGCTCTCCAAAGACCAGCTGCAGTTATCGGCAAAAGATACTTTGTCTATGTGTGCAGTTGAAAAAGGACTGGTAGCCTACACTGGGTTTTAGGTCAGACTGGAGCATGTGGGGTTGAGGGGGAAAGCTATTACCAGCGTCCTCTTCTTTAAATATGAAAGAGGATATTCTGGCTACATTGTTGGTGATCAGCAGTGTCTGACTCAGCCTCTGCAATTTTTCCATTATAATGCTCACGAAAATAGGGAAAGAGATGCAGTTTCAACAGTGGAAACTAGAAATGTGGGTCAAAAATGTGTCATGCAAAAGTTGGAGAGTCAACTAAGGAAAACTTAGCCTGGAGGCAGAGTGAGAAAGGCACATGGGTTAATGAGGTAGGGGATTTCCATCTATACAGACTCATAGAGGCGCAAACCCACCTTTCTGCTTTGTAAAAGCTCCACTCTATTTAATCCAAATACACTGTTCCACCCCTTGGCCCTGCTTCAAGCTCTAATGCATCTCTCCACCCCAATATTCCTCAGGAATGAAGTGCTAATGAGGTCAAAATGAATGTGAGTAATATTTTAGATTTTCTTCACTATTTGGGAGTTTTCTGCAATGCAAGAAATACAGAGAACTTCAGACTAGACAGAATAAGATTCTTCCCTTGTGTCTAGACAAGGTAATCTAGTCATAACACCATGAGATTGTTTCTCAGACCAACAGATACTAAATTAAAGACAACACGGTACCAGAAAGTTGACTGGTGTGAACAGTGATACCTCCTATATCTTAAGATTTGAAAGGATGATTCTAACTAGATTCAGATAAAACTGAGTAATACTAAAACAGAATAATCCATTTGTTTCAAGGATGAGGCAATCTCTTTTCAAAACAAGTAAGTACTGTATGAAGTGATTGTATAACACAAAACACAGACACTAGAACTAGAGAAGGAGCAGAAGGATATTTTTTGAAATCATTTGTAATTTTAAAAGCTTATAAATTACTGTATTTATTTCTTGCTGTAAAAAATGTAAGGAAACAAGGCTTCTACACAATAAGCCAATAATGGTAAATTTATTAAAATTACACACTGACATTTGAATTGGAAGGACAGAAAGTAGCATGATAATTTCTAGAGGCCGAGAAAAGGAAGGAAGAGAGAATTGTTTAATGAGTATAGAGTTTCAAGTTTGCAAAATGAGAAGAGTTTTGGGGATTGGTTACACAGCAGTTTATATTTAACACTACTGAACTGTCACTTAAAATAGTTAAGATGGTAAATTTCATATTATATACATTTTGCAATTATTAAATTAGAAAGAAAGATAATAACTAATGTAAAAAACAAAAATAACTTGAATGAGAGGCAAGCTAAATATGTCAGAGGAAAAGAAAGGTCTCTGTGTAACTTAGTGGATATGAGCACAGGATTTGCATTAAAAATTGTCTTATTACATATTACAGTTCCACTATTTTCCAACTCTTTTATTTTGGAAAAGTTCCTTAGTCTCTGAAAGCCTTATTATCTTCACTTTAGAAAGCGTAATAATAGCACATTCTTCATAGGATTTCTGGTAAATATTCATTGAGATAATGCATTCAAAGTGAATGGTGTTTGGCATATAGTTAAGTGCTCAATAAATATTAATTATTGTTAAGTTATTCAAAACCCAAAATGTAATCACATAATTAAAATCAATATTATAAATAATAAAGACCTATATCAACTTTACAAAGATTGAACTATTAATAATGAATAAAAACTTGAGTGATTCTCATAGAACACAGAAGAAATAAGTAAGAAAATGAAAACAATTTGAGAAAAGATGATAGATATGGAGCTGGTGGCTTAATAAGGAATTTAAAGTCATAAACAAATTATAATAGAAGCCAAAGTTTCTATACTAAATACTTAGGTTTTTCAGAAGAAAAACCAAATAAATAAATGAAAAGAAAAACCAGTCCAATAAATAGAAAAAAACAGACAGAGGTTTGTAAAATTTTGTTTACTTTTTCATGTATTTTTAGTTTCAACTTTTAAAGAAAGTTCTTTAATTCTATCCAGGCAAAGCATTAACAATAATTTTTTAAAGTCACAACACCAAACCAAACAACAAAAGCCAGAATTGTTCCACATTTTTTTGAATTTACAAAATTCTAGAACCTCATTGAACAACGTCAGATCTCACAATCTCAATTGCCGTCACAAGTCAGATAGGCAATGCAAAATAATGAGGTAGGGCAGGTAAGTACTATGGCAAATTGGAGATTGCAGGTCCAACTTAAGGGCAGAAGTTGCGACTCAATTCTAATTCTGAATTGCTATGTGAGAATGCTCCAGTGCTGCCAACTGCTCTACCTTGTGAGCAAGGCCTACAAGTAGGGATTTTTATGTGAAATCTTCAGATTTGTTTAAAGTCATCAACCAATTCACATTTTCAGTTAGTGCTCTGCAGGCCAAGCAAAACAGATCAACACACAATATGGTCTGTAAGCAATACCTTGTCCATAGTTTATAAAGAACAAGGTTATAACCTAAATATAAGAGCTCCGTTTCTAGTCAAGTTTCTGTTCCTATGTAAAAGAAAAATATATTTCCATATGTTTAAACTGAGTATACATTTTATATATCCATCCTTCATTAAAAATAAAAACCACAATGTATACTATAGCTGACAAATCAATCAAACACAATAAATAATTCAAAATGAAAAAGCAATAAGATAAAGCTGCTGGTGAAAAACATGGGTAATAATGACAAATTTTATAAATTATGGAAAGAAGTCAAAAAAATGCTTGTAAATTATATATGTTAAACATGTATACATTAAGGAAAACAAATAAATGAATTTTTATGGAAAATAAATTTATAAACATTTTTAAATTGGAGAAATTTAAAGCATTTTGATTTTAAAATTGACCAACAGTCAAATTAGCTCAGAATGTGTAATATCCAAATCAGCTTCCAAATTTCTCGTAAAAGGAGACATTATCCTTAATGGGAAAGACAGTGATAAAGCAAAAGACATAGAAAATGGAAAACCAGAAAACATAAGCAATGCTAAAATGCAGAGTCTCAAATAGGTCCATAATATCAAATTACATATGAAGGACACATATCAAAAGTCAAAAAACATTTTAAAAGTAAAATTTGGGATGAAGTTACATTAGAAAAGCAGAAATGATATAGTGGCAGTTGTTTACTCTGCCTAATTTAGGAGTAAAGTTAATGCTCCATAAGAAAAGCCTGAAAACTATAGTTGTGAGCCAAATACTGCCTATTTCCTGTTTTGTAAATAAAGTTTTATTGGACAATACATCAATAAATGATGTATTATCTATGGTAGAGTTGTGTGTTCGTGACAGAGAGCATATTGCCCGTGGTACTGAAAATATTTACTTTCTGGTCCTTCACATAGAAAGTTTGCTGATCCCCAATTTACAATATGCATGTCGTTATTCTGTGGCTTATTGCTTTCCTTGTGTACAGAGGCATAGCATTAGAGATATAAATCCTCCAAGTTAATAAATCTGAAATTAATACATTACTGTCCTTTAATAAATAAATTATTATGCCACAATCAAGTTGTTTCCAATATAACCTATATTAAACTGATTTTTTAAATTATTCTACAACTAGGAATTATTTGCACTGAAAGTTGAACATGTCAGCAAGGTCATAATTTTTACGTCTCTCATTTGTCATAGCGAAATATTACAAATTATATAAACATTGTAATGCCTGAAATTTTTTGTTTACATTGCTTAGTTTCATGATAATTTTGAATTTTTAAATTTATTTCCTTTGATTTTTACAGCCTCCTTCATCTCTTCTCTTTGTAGGGAATAATTCTAGTGTAAGTATTATGCATTGATGTTACACAAAAGTTCAATAATATTGCACAAAGTAGAAAAATAATATACAAAGTCCAGGAATAAAAAGGGTCATCTTAAAATGATAAAGGGATCAATTCATCAAAAAGACATAATGACCCTAAACATTTATTTACCAAATATTTATGTGATATTAATAGAGCCACCCTTTGATTAGTGTTAGCATGGCACATCCTTTCCCATCCTTTTGCTTCTAACTTATATATTTCTCTATATTTATATAGTGGGTTTCTTCTAGGGAGTGTATCTTGCTTTAAAAAAATATAATCATATGATCTTTGCCTTTTAATTGGGATTTAGTCTATTTATATTTGGTGTGATTATTGGCATGGTTGGGTATAAATCTATTATTTTGCCATTTATTTTTCATTAGTCTCTTTTTTTGTTCCTTTTTTACCTTTTCTGCCTTCTTTTGGATTATTTTTTATGATTCCATACTATTTCTTTTGTTGGACAATTAGTAATAACTGATCATTGTGTTATTTTAGTGTCTACTTTAGTGTTTAAAGTACACATCTTTAACTTATCAATCTTCAAGTGATAGTATATAAATTAATGTGTACTATAAGAAACTTAAAAATTATATTTCCGTTTCTTCCCTCCCAGCCTTTATGCAATGTAATCAAATATTTTGCTTTGATATCTGTTATAACTCATAATATACATTGTTACTCATTTTTTTACAGTAGATTATCTTTGAAGAATATTTAAATAATTTTTAAAGAAAGCTTTATATGTGCTACATAGGTATCATTCCTAAAGTTCTTCATTGGTTTCAGATATTTATGTTTGAAAAGCCTTCATTTAATCTTTGTTTTCTAAAGATATTTTCAATAGGTAAATAATTTCAGCTTGTTACTTGCTTTTTTCTTTTTTTAGTGTAGTTTGCATTATTTGAATTCTGCTAAAATACTTAAATTTTTAAAAATATATATGTGTATCTCCACACCCCTGCCTACTGCCCCTGGCTGATGTTATAATGTTTTTTTCTTTATCGTCAACTTTAAGTAATTTGAATGAGATGTGACTTGCTAAAGTTTTGTGTGTTTTCTTTTTCCTGGCACTTGCTCTTGAGGTTTGTTGAGTTTCTTGAATCAGGAGATCTGTGATTTTCAGCAAATTTGAAAAAATAGTGCCCATTATTTCTTCAAATATTCTGTGTATATCCTGATTTCTTGTGTTTCAGGAACTCCAATCATATACATATATATAATTATATGTATATATAATTATATATATATTTAATATATGTTTTTTTGTTCCAGAGCTCACTGATGCTTTGTTCAATTTTTAAAAGGCTTTATCTTTTATATTTTTAAATTTCAAATGGTTTCCATTGATACATCTTCTTCCACAATGTTTAATCAGCCATGAATCCCACTCAGTGAATTTTTTAATCTCGGATATTATAGGTTTCATTGGTACAAGCTCATTGTAGGTCTTTTTATATCTTGTGTTTCTACTTAACAAGTTTTAGTTTTCCTCTGGATATTTGAATATATAGAATACAGATAGGATATTAAGGTTGGTGCAAAAGTAATTTCAGTTTTTGGCATGACTTTCTTTTTCTCTTTTTTCTTTTCTTTTTTTCTTTTTTTCTTTTTTTTTTTTTTTTGAGATGGCGTCTAGCTCTGTCACCCAGGCTGGAGTGCAATGGCACGATCTCGGCTCACTATCACCTCTGCCTCCCAGGTTCAAGCAAATCTCCTGTCTCAGTCTCCTGAGTAGTGGGGATTACAGGCACCTGCCACCATACCCAGCTGATTTTTGTATTTTTAGTAGAGACAGAGTTTCACCATGTGGGCCAGGCTGGTCTTGACTCCTGACCTCGTGATCCGCCTGCCTCGGCCTACCAAAATGCTGGGATTACAAGCATGGGCCACCCTGCCCAGCCACCATTACTTTCAATGGCAAAAAAAACCACAATTACTTTTGCACCAACCTAACTGTTTTAATATCCCTGCCTATTATCATTTGTGTTATTCTGACTCTCTTCAAATATTAGTTTTGCTCATTTCATTTCCTCTTTCTTTCCTCCTAAGACTCAGTTGTATATGTTAGGAGTTGCTAAACTTTTTCTGTAAAATGCAAGATAGTAAGTACTTTAGTAAGTACTCAACTCTGCCAGTGTAGTGGCATAGAAAGCAGCCATAGACAATATCTATGTGAGACATGAATTATGATAAATATACCTTTTTGTCCTAATGTTTCTTTTACCGGCAGATAAGATTCTTCCTGGCATTAAATTATATTTTTCATATCATAAGATTACTATGTCACTTCTCCTTTGGTTTATATTTGCCTAATATATCTTACGTTTTTTTCTTTAGACAACTTACTGTTGAATTTAAAAAATGCATCATTAGAGTCTCCACCTTTTAACTCATATGTTTAATCAACTTTTGTAGTTAACAACGGTTATATTGGTAAGTATTTTTCATGTAAATTTCACATTTTGTTTTTCCTTTTTCTCTACCTGTGCTTTCTATTTGAGAGTGATTCGTTCGCTACTAAAAATTTATTGATGGCATTTTTTCTCATTATGGCAGGTGTCTTTCTCCAAAGACCCATAATCATGATTATTTTCTTGTAATCAATTCTTAAACTTATATATGTAAACATACACATACACACATATATGTGTATGCATTTAAGAATTTTATGTATGTTCCTGCTAACAACATAAGTAATATAATTTTCCCAAGAGGACATTTTTCTTGATGAGACAAATAACTTAATTCACTCTCATTCCTCATGTTCCCTACCTTATCAGATTGAATCATGTTGAATTTTAGTTCTGGCTATTGTAAATATACTTCTCCATTTGCTCTAAATTTTTTCCCCTTTCCTTCTCTTTCCCTCCACCCACCTCATTCTCAGTCTTTGCCAAACTATGATCAAATATGTTGCCACATAGTTGATCATTTCACTTATATCTCTTCCATCATTTTCTGGCATTGTACTTTTCTAATTTGATTTCTTCTAAAATTATATTCAACTGGGGTATTTGTTATTTTCTTTGCTTTCTATTTAGCAGTATTCAAATATTTCTGTTTTTGATAATTTAAGTTTACTTGTAGTCTGTCTAAGTGTGAATTTTTTATTATCAATAATATTTGACATTCGATGATCTTTCTAAATCCAAGATCTTTAATCTTTAATTATGTGAAATATACGTAAATTTTTATGTATAATATTCCCATGTGGCACTTAATAATTCATTGTTTTTCTTTTATATGGTTAAACTTGCTAATATCTTCATAACTATATTTATTATTCTACTTATAATTCTTAATCTGTCAGTTCTAGTATTTACACTTAAGATAGTTGTCCAGTTGGTGCTTTTTCTGTTGGTAATTATAGCCCTTTGCATCTAGTTATTTTGGTGAGTGAGTTCATGCTCCCCTGGTCTATCAGCTACTCTGTTTCAGCAGGATCTCTGAATAGAAAAGATGTCTGCATTTCTGAAAATGTGTTTTGGGTAAGGGCCAAAAGCCGGGCTGCAATTTATATGAATTTCGGCGAGGTTAAAAATAGAGACAAGGATAAGCCCCTAGGCAGAGAGTCAGAGTCCCAGGCACTGCAGAACCTGTGTGGATTCCAGGCTGTAACAGTCAGTCCTCCAAGAGGTTCATCTGGTCAGTAATTCATGTCTCATGTTTAATGGTAATACAGCAGTAGGGGTGGTGGTGGGGGAGGGCAGTTTCCTGAGATTACTATTTATCAGTGAATGGGTATTTGGAGGGAAAGGAGGAGGAAGGGTCAATGCCCAAGGGCAGCTGGTCAGTCTTCTCTTATTTTTAAAGATTTGTCACCCAAAGAGGGCCTTTCTGCTACCTAAATATTACTTCAGAGACACCACACAAGCGATCTAAGCTGCTGTAACAGATTTTTGGGTAAATGGGAAGGAGTAATTGTCCAAAGACTATGTAGGGGAAAGGCAAGTGCAAAATTGAAAAGGCTCTTCTCTGCTTTATCTTATCAAGGCCATCTGTGGAGTACTTCCATAGGAAAATGCGAATTCCTATACTTTCCACACCCAGCAATTACAATTTTCGATCTTCTCAAGGTCTTCTGTTGGTTGCTTTGGTTAGTTTCTCAAAGATGTTTTCCTGTAATGACAATATTATAAAGTAAACTTTAAGGTTAAGTTGAGGAAGCTGAATCTAGCACAAGTCAGTTCACAATTCTACCAGGGTCTAGAACTCTCCAGTCTGTCCTTTGTTAATTTTACAGGTAGGCCAGGCGTGGTGGCTCATACCTGTAATCCCAGCACTTTGGGAGGCCGAGGCGAGTGGATCACTTGAGGTCAGGAGTTCCAGACCAGCCTGACCAGCATGATGAAACCCCATCTCTATTAAAAGTACAAAAATTAGCTGGGTGTGATGGCAGGTGCCTGTAATCCTAGCTACTCGGGAGGCTGAGGCATGAGAACTGCTTGAACCCGTGAGGCGGAGCTTGCAGTGAGCAGGGATTGAATCACTGCACTACAGCCTGGGTGACAGAGCGAAACTCCATCTCAAAAAAAAAAAAAAAAATTTACAGGTAGTTTGCTTTTGTTTCATTTTCTTTCTGTAGTTCAAAAGCCCTTCTCCCAACCTGAGTCAATTTGCATAGTTTTCTGCTCAAGGGCTCTAATAAACTCACTGGTATATGCACACCCCATTATAACTTTAAAAGTGTTCTGTTCCAAAAAGTGGTCAATAAGAACTATACCCAGTTTAAATTCTGATTTTTTTAAAGTGAAGGAAAATAGGAGAGCTTGAGATGATTTCCTGTTCCTGAATCTCTAATTTAGTATAGTGCTCTCCTGCTAGTAGTTTGAACTGACAAAAGAATTGACTATAGTGTGAAAGAAGTTGAATTACATCTTTGCCTCCCCCCACCTTCAATTTAGGAGCATTTTCAAAATTAGGCATCAAAATGCAAAAACATCATAAAATAAATTTGAAATGCAGAAATTACTACTTGCACGGTGTCTGTACAATTTTAATTCTAAACATTTCTAAAAACTCTTCTAAGATAGCATTTTTGTGTGTGTGAAGGGAGGTGGAATGGATAATTTGAATTACAAAAAAGACTTGATAACCCCCCACACATCAATTTACCTGTGAACAAAAAGACTCACACTGAGAAAATGGGACTTGGGACTATTTGATAAATTACTACAGACTACTTGAATATTCCATTAGCAAAATAATAGCTCATTATGGAACCTCAGAAGAATGTAGTATAATTACAATAGTACTATCCTCCCTTGGAGATTGGGAGGAATGCAAATGTTAAAAATGATAGCTATTTAACCAATGCTAGAGAAAAATGCCTCAAAACAAACTCGGAGGGTATATGATTTATGGAACTTAGGGAAATTATTACAGTTTCCACCAGCTTTAATTAGTTGAATGTGTTTCTACCAAATGAAGGTTATTCACATTCTTGGACCATATAGATGTATATATGCACACCCCACATGTGAATAATGACAGAATTGCCTTAGTCTCTGTTAAAATTTTCTGTAAACTGCCCCTGGATGTATTTGAGAAGTGATAACACGGTCACATTCTCAGTACCAGGTGAGAACATTTTGAGAAGTTGTTTATTGAATGGGGTGCTAAAGTAGAAGATTAGAAAGGGTATATGATGGAGGGAAAGAATGGAGGGTGGGAATGAAGGATGAAAGAGAAAGAAAAAATGGAATAATGAAAAGAAACCTAATGTCTAACTTATAATTATGATGACCTCTATCACAAAATAAAGTACAAAATAACAACAAAACTGCCCAAGTTTTTGAACTAATATGTATCAAGTGCCCTTCTCTTGCTACTGGACCCAAAAAATGATATATAAATGGATGAACAAAACTAATTTTTCTTTAACAATTTAGCTTTTCCAGCCATGAGATGTTGTGACATCCAGTAAACTAATCAAGCCATTTAATTTTTAATCAAGCCATTTAATCTCTTAAAATTAAAAAGTTGCTTTAAGAAAATAAAAGGTATAATAATTACTAATGTCAGCCATGAGAGCACATTCAACACGTGGCTTTTATTTCTTTTCTAAAGCTGACATATCCCAAATTTAGGAAATTTGCAAAGTATTTCTAAGCAAGAATTTCACAGTGAGTGTTATGCTCAATGAGCAGGGATATTCATACCTAAACCACGTTGGTATGTTTAATGTCACTTAGTTGAAAATGAAGTTTGCAATAGCCCAAACTTCCCCATGTGAAGTATATATTTGTCTAGGTTCCCATCCTTTTGTAAAGATCACCAGAGACAAAGTCAACTTAGAGAATATTTAAGGAAAAACATTTCCATATTAAAAGCAATAATATAGAATAGTTGTGCTTATCAGAATGCCTAGAATATTCTGTTCAAATATCTTAATAGGATGAACACAGGACTTTACCCAATGTATTCACTACCAGACTGTCAAGGCTAGAACTTGGCAAATAAACACTCAATATTTGCAGAATGAATATAATAAAGAAAACATAAAATAACATGTTAAGTAAGACTGTGTATGTTTTCCCAAAATATAGCCAACTTTTAATTATTTGTTGGCAATCAGTGGCATTGATAGCCCAATATCATGATGAAATTTGGAAAGTTTATATGTTTAGAGAAAAATGCTTTAACTTTCTAAATGATGATTCTTTTGGACATAAAATATCTTTCTAGTTCTTCTACACATAGGCAGCATTATGGGAAACAGTGACTAGGAATATAACTAAAGAAATAAGATTCCTTTGAATAACCTATAAACAGAAAACCAAATGTAACTTATTTAGCATTCGTCTATGACAATAGTATTCAGAGATTCAACAAGCAACATTCTGTAATATTTAGTAATTATTCCAAAATTTTTTCTTAACCTTGGTTGGTTCTGGGTAACAGGGAGTAAGCATTCCTCCTCTCTCGTACTGAAACCAACTAGAAACGCTGGGGAGAATGCATGGAGCAGCTATTTGTGAACTGTAAATACTAGCAAGAGGATTGGAGTTCAGAATTCCAAACTCATCAAACCCAAACCAGCAGTGAAATTTTTCTTTTTTCCCCTCTGTCATCCCTTGTCTTGGATTTAACACAACCAGAAACTTGGAAGTGAGTACTCCTATAGACAGAAAATTCCAGGAGGAGCCATAAAAGGGGACCCTGTCACCCCTGAGAGAGATGTCCAGCCCCCACCCTCCCTTTCCTGTGCCAGGCCCTTGGCCAACCTTGTCCAACCTGTGGCCTATGGACTGCATACGGCCAAGGATGTCTTTGAATGTGACCCAACACAAATTTGTAAACTTTCTTAAAACATTATGGAATTTTTTTTTTGGTGGAGGGGCTTTTTTCCCCCCTAGCTCATAGGCTATCATTAGTGTTAGTGTATTTTGTGTGTGGCTCAGGATAATTCTACTTTTAATGTGGCCCAGGGAAGCCAAAAGATTGGACATTCTAGCCCAGGCTATCCCATGGCAGCCCTGGCAATTATAGTATGGAAACCCAGAAGAGACAAACTCACTCCAAGCAAGGAGAGCCTTTCTGCGCCCTCCCAGCAGCTGCAATTCCAAGAAGGTGGGGCTAATTCCCATCACTTGTTTTCTCTCTCTGCTCCTCCTGTTGCTTGGCCCAGGTTGGAGGCACAATCTTCTGTAGACACTTTTCACCAAATTAGGGTGTTTTCAGCCATGATTCCTTCAAATATTTTCTCAGCCTCACTCTTTTTTTCCCCGCCCCCTCTGACACTCTAACAATATAAGTCTTTGGCCTTTTGGTATTGCTCTACAAGTGTGTGATGTTCATTAGTTGTTTTCTTTATGCGGTTTTTCTCGGTTGTACAGATTGAATTGTATCTACTTATCAATTGTCATGTTTACTGACTCTTTCCTCTGCCATCTCCACTTTGTTATTAATACCATCCTATGAAATTTTTATTTCTCACAGTGTACTTTTCAGTTCTAAAATTTCCATTTGTATCTTCTTTGTCTTCTGTTTCTTTGCTGAGAT